TTTTTCAATCATCTTTCCTTTCTTAAATACCTTACAATCAAATTCAATCAACAAGTGTACTCATTTTTATAAAAACAGCTTCATAAAACGGTATCATCAAGACTCACATGCATGATACTGAAACCAAGAACTATAATTTGTTGGAAATCATTATCGATGGTCTTTTATCTTCCCATGAGTCACATAAATGAAGAAATAGTTCATGTTAAAATTATTAGCACCTTAAAACCCTAATGCACTAAAGATGAAAAATGAAAAGTCAATCTTGATGTCAAATCTAGAGATGCAATCTACAATGCCCTACTTTATAATTTTTATCATATGTTTAAAAACTGCAACTCAAGATCTTCAAGACGCTCAAAGTAGCATACGACAGATTTGATGTGTTTAATGGAATGAAGAAAATAGTCTTAATCATTATACTTTTTTCTTAAATCTTTTAACATAATACATAAGCAAAAAACTTTATAAAACCCTTTATTTAAAAAAAACAATTAAACCACAACGCCACATTTGTACCAATATCCCAAAATCCATTATTAAAAAGTAAAATGCATGAGAGGTTTTTAGAAGTTTAAAAAATAAAATACCATACGTCCAACGAGGTATCAAATACTAATAGAAATGTACTCAAGATAACCCAACCTCACAAGAAACTTCTAGCGCACCTGAACAATCACAAGTCGAACATAGCAAGAAACAAGCGTTAACAAATGATTTGTGAGAAAGTCATTTGTACAATGCAAAACCGAACATAGATTAATCCCTAAACCGGTCAATCATTTGTATTTTCATCACATAGTATGTTTTTCACACATTGCTTATCACCACATACATATGTTATTCATTGCTAAACTGAAGAATTATAACATAAAATTAGTGTTCTCGTGGTCTCACTTTACTTGGTGTTTTCATTTTAACCATCCCATATATATATATATATATATATATATATATATATATATATATATATATATATATATATATATATATATATATATATATATATATATATATATATATATATATATATATATATATATATATGTGTGTAGCTAAGTTCACATGTTCTCTACATCTATTGTATGGTCAAAAGACAGTTGTATACCAATGAATGAGTACAACTAATGGAATTGATCTGAAAGTCTATTATAATGAGATAACATCTACCATATAATCATACAAATTTCAAGATAAGTATATTTTGATTAATTAAACTATATTTAAAAAAAGATTTTTTTTTTGGATTTTAGGGATATTTAATTCACTTCATTTTTAAAATCAAAACTTCTTAAATTAGTTCAAATATAATTCTTATGTAGTTTGTAATCATAATCGATTTTATTCATTCATAAGGTTATTTTGTCAGATTGATATTTTGTTAGAATGTTATTCTATTAAAATATTATTCAATAGAAACAAAAGTCTTGAACCCTAGTTGAATAATAAAAAATTCTTATATATTCATAGACACCTAAACTTAAATACAAATGCATATATATTCTTATAGAGTAATAGGCTTAAACATTTTAATATAATTATATGTATTATAACAAAATGTCATCAAAAATGAATTAACTATTTTTAAAAAATAGCATCGTTAAATATACAGTTATTGAACAAATACATTTGATCTTCTTCAATGGTCCAAATAATCGACTTGATTACTATTATTCTCACGAAAATGTGATATATTATCGTAATAATACAATTCTTGGGATATATAGTTGTTGTTGAACATGATTCCAATTCTTTCAATTATATGATCAATCATTGATTCCATCTTCAAGCTATTTTGAAAGAATAACATGCATTACTTATTAGTATTACAAGTTAAGAAGAATGATTTGACTACACTAATGTAGCATCAAACAATTACTTATTAGTAATTTAGTAACCAAAATACATATTACATAAATTTTAAAAAACGTCTTAAAGACATTCTGATAGAATTCTCTAAAAGCTAAAGTAGTCACCAAGTGAACCAACGAACATGCCCACTCAAAGTGAGTGCATGGTTTAACCTTTTGATACAATGTGAACTTATGACAATAGAATATAAATTTAGGAAATTTATATCTTAATAAGTGCTTACCACTGCCATATAATAAACAAACACATGGTGAGAGAAAAATAAGACAACAAATATTAATCCAATAATTGTTTGAATATACACATTACGCTTAATAACCAGAAGAAACAATTTGTCTCTAGATGCTAAAAATGATCTCAAAGTAATCGAGTATTATAGAGCATCCTATAATTAATTATCTTTCTATACAATATTAATTTATCTTCCCGGCCAATCATCAAGAATAAATAATTGATTTATTTTGGAGGAAAATATAGACCTGTACCTTCATTTTTTTAGAGTAAATGTATTCAAAAATTTGGAGCGTATCTCTTTGTACATTTGAAAACTCAATACTAGATACTAAACATATCCACTGAGAACTATATGTAGGAGCCTTATGTGACATGATTTCCTCATAAGCCTCTTCTTTTCAAATCCTACAAACATTTTCAAGATTAACAAATTAAAATAAAACATGAAATTCGTAGCTTTCAATTTGTCTTTCTAGTGTGACATTCTAGCATTTAGGTCAAAAACTTTAGATAGTCACTTCACTATGAACCTCTTTGTAATCCAACCTATTGGAGTTTAATGTATATTTTTGAAAATAAATAGTGTCATTACAATTAAAATAAAATATGTGATGGTATCTTCAAATTGTGGAAAATATCAAAAAAATCGTGCAACACAAACTGTAACACTAGTTAATACGTCTGAAAAATTGAAATTTCATATTAAGCAGGTGTGAGTGAAGCGAACACTCTAGTCTTGTACTTGTTCACTATAAAGAATGTCCAAAATGGAGATCGTATGCAAAGATACGACCGTTATAAGCAAAAAAACCAGTATAATACTGATTTTCTTTAAACTTCATAAACTATTTTGATTCATTGAGGCACTAGAACACATCAGATGGAAATTCCGAAAATGATTTTGGACTCAGGTTATGGTCTATTACTAGATTCCATAATCAAAATATTTTTATTAGAACTATTTGCAAAAGTCAAAAAATAGACGTTTCAGGACAATTAAACGCGAATCTTTAGATGCGATTTCCCGGAGTTTAAAAAAATTAATACATTTGGGTTTTTTGAATCGTTGAACTTGGCTACATGATTCACCATGTTTGAAAAAATATTAGACATCGGGATCTTGGCATGGAAATATAGGAAGGTTTGGGGAATTTTTTAGAATGGTGACATCACCATGACCGCCATGCTTGCATGAAGGATTAGAAATCAACCATTTGCTTCATTCTTCTCCCTTACTCACGTCCACCATTACCTCCACCAATTTACCTCCTATGCTCCATCACTTCTAAGAGTATAAGCACGACCTTCCTTTATGTGTCTGACATTTCAAGAGAGTATGGCTTGCATGGTTGCATGAAACATGCTTGAGGCTATAAATAATCGTTAATCTTTGGAAAGAGAAATGTATGTATAGATCTATATAAGGTTGACACCCCACCTACGATTGCTAGCTAAAACCATGACGGTCAATTCAAAGCGGGTGCTTACTATCTATAGTCGTTTCTACGACATGTAATGAAGCATTGTAGGGGATACTTCAATCACATAGATCGGTTATAAGACTTACTATGAACATTAACTAGATCTCTCATTCTCTACAAACCATGGATTTAGTTTCTCTCACTATAAACCATGGATTTGGCTTCTCTCTAGAAACCATTGATTTGGTTTCTCTCCCTCTACTAAAAATTTTAAGTATGGATTTAATTATGGTTTATCAATCTATAAAACATTTTGAAGTATGATTTTACTTAAAAGCAAATAAACTTCTTTTGGTATTTTAAAAGTATCATTATTGCACTAACAGAAAACCTGTAACTCTCACCAACCTTGTGTTGACCCTCAAAACTACATGTATTCTTAAGGACTCACTAAATAAGAAATTTGGACGATGAAATACTCATGGATTTCAGGTGACCTAGCTTAGAAGATTTTGTTATATCTTCCTACCTATTTAAGTTAATCCTTGTATTATAATATTATATGTAAGAACATTGTATTCAAACTTCAATATGGAATACAATTTTTGTTATTGTTGTACTTGTTTTATATATTTGGTTTACATGTGATCCATGAACTAAGTCGCACTTCCCAGCACGTTCTGCCACCTCGATTGGGGGTGTGACAGATTGGTATCAGAGCTAAATAGGATATAAAGAACTTGTATCCTCAAAAGAGGAATACAACTATAACAACAGACTCCTAATAAAAGTATTATTATTAATCACCCTACTTATCGACTACTTATTGGAAAGGTAATTGGTTTGAACTATCGCTCAGGTTGCTAGATTTTAGCACGATTATATGCTAAAATGGTCTTTCCATCCAATACTTCTCATTTGGCCCTGGTCCTTACTCGATAGTATTGGAGTACAATAGAAAAACTAATAATACTACAAACCTCACCAACACTAAATATAATAGTTATATATATACTCTGACCCACGTTGAGAACACTTAATAAAATCCTAACATTTCTTCAACTAAAGCTACCAACCTTACCCTTTAGGTCAAACTCATCGACTAAGGTTAATACAATACATAAGCCATACCACAAATAAAACTTGAACATGCGTCTATGTTATTTATGGTCGGGCTAGTCCACAACCAACCTTGAGCAAGGAGTTTGACAGACTACAACGGTTGAATGTTTAAAAGATTGAAGAATGTTCTCAACATTCGCTACAGATACGTAGTACCTTAGAATCCTTATGTCAACCTTAAAACTACAATTAAAAACACATCAATAACATACTAAAAACTTTCCAGCCCTTAATGCAGATGGTTGGATTACCCAACAACCCAAGGCTTGGATGGATCTTATAGATCCCAAGGAGCTTCATAAGATCCCGCTACAGTAACCAGGGGACCCGTACTTCCCAGATGGCTTACCAATGGACCATGCCGACCTATCAAAGGATGATGATCCTTCAAAGGATAAAGGGAAATACGATCTAGAGGAAGTCGAAGAGTCTGAGGATGAGGGCATACTACAAGATGCTCACAAGATGAACAACGACAGCCTCGTAGAGGATGATGAGGGCCTCACTGATAAGGAACCTGCACCACCTACCCCACCACCTTCTCCACATAAGCCATACTACCATCCATACTGCAATTATGGCAAGAGTCCACTAATTATGAGGACCCCAAGTTTGAGTGTTCCTCTAGTATATCACTTGGACCCATCCATTGCTGTTTCCCGACCCATTAGTGGTCGTAAGAGGAAACTAAACTTGCCTCATGAGCCATCTTGGCTAACTAACTTGCTCGAAAAGGGGATGAATATTGAAGATCCTCCACGGTTTCAGATAGGCAAGTCTTATCAGGCTCCGCTACATGTGTCACTCAGGGATGATCCCGAGAATAACCCAATCCATCGCCTGATGAGTCAGGGTGACAGATTATCTAAAAGAGTATAGAATTTGGAGGAGCTATTTAGAGCTTTAGGTACTATCTCCAGGATCCTTTAGCAGAGAGTTGGAAGACTCGAAAAGGAGGAGAAGGATGACACAATAGCCATCCAGACCGTCTACCAGCACATAGGTGCATGTTGCACCAAGGAAAACACTTTGTGTGCTCATTTACGGGCCCTAGCGTATCGGACTCTGATTTTAGTGAGTCAGTTGGATGCATCCGAGCACCAAGCGGTCGTTGCTGAGAAAAGGCAAAGCTAGCTTCAGGAATAATTTGATGATCTGGTCCACTATTTAATTACACGTTTTGGGCGACAGACATTTCACCTAGGGTGGCTTGTGCCCTAGGGTAGGGTTAGAGCTTTTGAGGAATAGTTGTTGCACTGCAAGTATTTATCACTGCCCCTTTAGCAAATGTTCATCTGTAAAGCTTTTCCATTTATAACCTTACATAGTTGGTAGTTTTGTAATGATTGTAACCGAAAACAAGAAGTTCTAGTCTATGAAACAATTTTCCAATATTTATTAAATATTGGTTCTCATTATATGTATTGCTTGTAACACACTATCATTACTCAGTTAAAGATATCAGGTTAAGACTCTCAATGAATTTTTTTGAAATTTGTAGGATTTCATGAACAAATTTCACTAATACCCTATCATAAAATACAATTCATACATACTTGTTTATGACTACATAGTGTAAAAAAACTTAACGAGTCTGTCTAAACATATTAGGACAATGACTCCACAAAAAAATCTGCAAGTTCGTCCACCACCAACTGTGACCACAACTACAGGGTAAACACCAAATTCCTAAAGAACTCCTTCTAAATCCACTATAACCCTCAATCCCACCATTTCAAATTGATCTCACTCTAATTCGGACCCTACTTGCGCCAGGGATTGCCATAGCCTTAGCTGCATATGAGGCTGCCCGGAATGAAACATCTGAGAATAGTAGAAATATTGCTGATACTCCAATTAATAACCAAAAAAAAATCCAAATTCTATTCATACAAGGATTTCATGGCTTGCAAACCCTAATCCTTCTACTGCATGGGAGGAGATGTCGGTCTATCCCGCTGGATTGAGAAAACGGAGGCAGTTTTTTGAATCAGTTCTTGCCTTGATGACTGCTGAGTCAAATATACTACTCGTACACTAGTGGAATCTGCCCTGACTTGGTGGAATAATCATGCCTAGTCCCTGGGAATCGATGCAGCTTATGCCATGGGTTGGGAATCGTTAAACCAAATGATAATTGAGGAGTACTATCCTCGAAAGAAAGTCTGAGCTCTGGAACAGGAGCTTTGGAATTTTAGTATGAAAGGATAAGAGGTGATATTACCATATCTATACATATATTGAGGCAATATTTTAGTTCATTTATGCTACATTTTAATTAGTAATGAAGATATTTGGTACTTATAACCTTTAAATTCTATTTTGTAGCTAAAATGACATTCTTGAAGAATAAGGAACAGAGTGACAAATATTGTAGCTTGGAAGGATCGGAGCTAAAACAAGAGTTTAATGGAGCTTAAAAGAATAATATCCTTGTAAAAACACCAAAGTCATGATGTAACGCCCTCATATTCAAGCTAGTCAATTTAGAGACAATAAGCGTCAAAAATGAATTTTTATGGTAAATTATCTAGAATTAATAATCTTAAATAAGTTGTTGCAAATTTCACAAGGGTTCCGTACATAGAAAGAATGCCGAAATCCGATTTATAACGAAGAAGTTATGACCTGTCGAAGTTTTACGGCTAAACCCACATGACACCGCATAACGTAAAAAGTGAATTTTTGATAAAATGCTTTTTAGCCTTAGCGCTCTAAACAAAAGTCATAGTATACGTTAAACCGAGAGCGTTCATAAAGAGAACGTCCAAATCTGACTTCGTATGAGGAAGTTACGATTTTTCTAAAATTTAGCATAACAGTGCACAACCCGAAAATTCAAATTTTAGATCGGTCGATTTTTAGCCAAAATAATATAAACGATAAAAAAATATATCTTTAATAGGAGTTAAACGATAGAAAGAAAATCGAATACAGAGCTCGTATGCGAAAGATATGGACGCAACTTAGTCTCTACTCTTCAAGCGCGACGAATTCGATACAGTTTTGTAAATGTGAGATAGAATGAGAATTAGCTAACAAGGTCTAAATGAAGGTTGGAGTACTCGTAAATACCATCACATGGATATAAAGAAGGTAGAAAATGAAGCTCGTACGCGAAAGACACGGACGAAACTTAGGGCATACTCTACGATAAAACCCTTATAAATAAGAGATGAACTCTTCATATTTTCTTCACACCATAAGCCTTTCTTTCTCTCTCTAACTTCTCTCTATCCTCGCCAAAGCCCATAAAACCTAGGGTACCACCCCAGCTGTGAAAACTCGAAATTTTCATTCGGTCAAACCTTAAAAGTCAATCACTTCGATTTATAGGTCAATTACATTATTACTTATTCTTAGCAAATTTAAAGTTCGTTTGATTATTTTAATATTATTCTTTAAACGAACGGGTGAAAGAAAGTGTCGTCTCGGGTTTTGAAATTTAAAAACCGCAAACACCTCGTGTCTTAGAAGTTCACGACTAAACTCTCTCAAGTATCATCTCGGTTTTCGCCCAATTTCCCGAAAACGTAAGTGTTTCTCGACTTTTTTAGTTGATATAACATAACATCTAGTGATTATACATCCTTTAATCCATCCATTTATGTGTTTTGACTAGTTTTCCAAAACACCAAGAACACACACTAGTGTTCTTGGACTTTTAATTCATTACAAGCTTCCACAAAGTAAGTGCTTCTATCCTAGAGTCATTTAAAGCTTGCTATACATGTTAATATCAAAGAAAAGTCCCAAGAACACCAAGAACAAGGTGTTCACGGTTTTGGGAGGCTCCCAAAACCCTAAACACCAAGAATAGGGCCAAAGTGGTATGTTAGGGTGCCTAGGTGCTTCACAACGCCTTAGGGACTTGTCTAGATTCATCCTTGATGAGTTTATCACACAAAAAGCGCCACAACCTTGCATTTTTATGTGTTTACGGTTTGGGGACCTCCCAAAACCAAAAACACCCCAAAAGTTGTATAAAAATCCCATAAAAGTCTCATGGTTATTCCTTATGTCTAAATCTAACCTAGACTAGTGCCATGATTGAGCTAAGGACTAGAAAACCACAAATACCATAAACTTATGAGTTTAAGGTAGTAAACTCATGAAGAAATGGTCCTTAGACCATAAATCCATTTAGGAGTGTTTTGTTGCCACACAACACTTCCTAAGGCTTAAACATGAAGTATGGATACTTGGAATAGCTTAAAAGACTTCAAAACAACAAATGGTCAAAAGGTTAGGAGTTTACGACCGTAAACTCAAGAGTTTTTGACTGTAGATTCAAGGGGTGTTGGTCTTTAGGGAGTAAACTCATTTTATGAGTGTTCCTTGAACCCCGAACACACTAGCCTTTCCCTACAATACTTAGATGCACTCCTTAACACTTATAACACTTATACCAAGTGTTTGTCATGTCCTAGAGTGTCTTGACTTGTTTATTGGTTAATTAAAGATTATTTTTTTATATACATATGTCTTTATATGTTATTAGGATCTTTGTGCATGTCTAAGTCTTCACTTGACACCAAGCACTTATCCGACACTTCCTTCTGATACACTTGCAACAGGTGAGTTCACACCCCTTAATCAATGTTTTAAATGATTTTAAATGCTTTAATGGGGGGGGGGGGGGGGGATACAAGTAGAAAACAATATGTTATTAAATCCATTCTTAGGTATTTATAACTGTGTTTTCATCCATCTGATTTCACATGCTTCAAAATGTGATGTATATGTCACACCCCAAAACCAAGAACGGCGGAAACGTTCTGGGGCGGAGGATGTCATGTAAAGTATCACAACACAGTAAATGTAAATAAGCAAACAACATCATCCATTGCATTAAATATATAATTTTAATACAAGCGTGTTCTGTACAGTTATAGACACCAAAAATAATATAAATCAAAATAATAAGATGAGTCTTGGATGCGCTCCATCTTCTCAAAAGCTGGCCTCGGTACCTGTCTACTGATGACTTGAGAATACAAGTTATTTTGAAAGAGTTTATCAACATTAAGCTGGTGAGTTCATATGTATTTTAGTGTCGATGTTTGTTATCAAAAACGTTTGAACCTGTCTCAATTGTAAGTTTGTAAAATGTATGTAAGTGTTTGTAAAAGTTTGAATTCCTTAGAAAAACCTATATTTTCTATTAAAGTAGCCTTATACCAAGGCTTAACTGTTTTGTATGCTCGTTTGTTGTAAAAGTGTGTAATTTCCCAAATGTAACTATCATTTAACAAAATATAGTTTGTACATTAATGTTTAAGTGAAATAATCACTAAAAATATGTAATGGGTAAATCATTGTAGTATTGTAGTTTTGTATTATAGGAACTACTGCTGTACTAACTACCTTTAAACCGGATTTATATTAAGGTATAATGTGATAAATTGCACCATGCTATAGACTGGTAACAATGGCAACGTATAGTCGAAAAAAATAAGGTATGACGTTTGGCACCCGCATACCTGCCGGTCCCGCTGTAGCTAGCAGCGAGGTGTAGGATAGTCAATCCAGTATAGATCTATATGCAAACTCACGCTCTCCCTCCAAGAGAATTTTGGCTACGACTCGGGTCATGAAATTTAAGGCATGCTCCGATACAGTTGATCACAATTGTTAACGTATTCTTGTGTATGTAATATAATGTTACTTATTCTATTATTGTTGTATATGTTCTCTTAGTAATAACTATTGACTCATGAATGAACTGACTCGTTGATCTAGAAATCGTAGTAGTATGATCCTATGTTACCCCGATGGTAACTTACTGATGATGTACTGATAAGTATGAATAGGGAAGTAATTTTATGTCTATATATGTATATTTTATATATAACTAATATTGAAACGACTTTCAGACGGTTACCCGAAATCCAGCCAGACCACATCCAAATCGAGAAAAAGGAAATAGGGCGGATGGCCTTCCTATGCCCTTTAGACATTACTTATATATCTATACATATATGGGCATGCAATTTATAAGAAGTAAAACAAAGTTTAATAAGAGCATTTGATAAGTAACAGAGTTTGTAAAACATTTTGAAGTAAAACAGTTTGATAAACAGTTGGAACAGTGAATAAATCATTGGTTTTCTAGTTATTAATCACATGTGATT